TTGATAAGATTTTAATGATAATGGTTTTCCTTCCCTATTTCAATCGCTCGTTTCCACTTATCTAAATTAATTTGTTTTTATTTTTGGATCATTATTTTTTACCACTATTACTTATGCAAAAAATTTTAAACTTAACACTGGTCTGTTTGAAAACAAATTATACCCAACCGAGGCCAGGCTTGACTCCGACTCAAGGCAAAGCTTTTTCCTGTGACTTCAAAAGGGCGCCATTTTTCATGCCTTTTAGAGTCTTCCTGGCCAGTTTCCGGTCAAGGACCAATCGGGGTCCGGTAAAAATTTTTGCCTAATTATCTCTTCTTTCCGCTTAGTATCCACTTCTTGTGCTTTTTATTCTACTCTTGTTGTCTTTTAAATTTTTAAATTTGTTTCAGTTTTTATTATGTCTCACATTAAAAAATATTTTTAAAGTCATTTCTTATTAGTTGCTTTATTTTTTACAAATTAAATTCAATACATTTAGAGTCAACTCGGAGTCTCATAGTAGGAATGCATTTGGCAGGAAGCAACAATGTGGAAATTGCAAATCAAGTACGATGCTCAGTTAACACAGTTCGTTTGTGGATAAATAAATACCTGCGTGGTGGACTCCTTGCTATGACTGATCACCGAAAATACAATCATCCAATAAGAAAAACTTCTTTGATACAAGATGAAGTAATCAATGAATATTTCTCAGACAATAATCCATTCGCCGCTTCAGCACAATTCGCACACCTTGTACAGAATGATATTAGTTCTGGCACAGTGAGAAGACGTCTAAATGAAATGAATATTAGGAGCCGTCGTCCTGCTTATAAGTTCGCTCTATCTGATGCTCATCGTCGGCAACGCGTAACATACGCCGAGGAATACGTTGAACATCCAGAGGAATTTTGGACAAACATGATATGTATGGACGAAAAAATTTTCTCCACTTCAGCAGATGGTCGTCGACTTGTTTGGCGAGGTCCAAACAGCAGGCTGAATTCGAATTGCGTAGTGAAAAAGCATCACAGTGGCCGAGTTTCGTGTAATTTTTGGGGCTGTACTTCTGTTTATGGAGTAGGAGTTCTCCGTGAAGTAGGAAGAGGATTCAACGCAGCGGCTTACGTTGAAATTTTAGAGAACCATTTTCTTCCCTACATGAATAGGATTTTTCCGGAGGACGAGTACGATGAGGTAAAAGTGTTACACGACAATTCCAGAATCCACACAGCCCGTGTGACGAGACAATGGTTCGCGAATCATCCTCGCATTACTCTTCTTCCTCATCCGCCTTATTCTCCTGATCTTAATCCCATTGAGAACCAATGGGCCATGGTAGTAAGACAATGGCAATCAGGTCAAGACAGAAATATTGAAGAACTGATTAACCATGCTTTTAGAAGTTGGGAAGAAATCGGAAACACACCGGAAGTTGTTACAAACTCTATACTCTCAATGCCAAGACGTCTGCAGGCAGTCATTGACAATGATGGCTACTGGACGAAGTATTAAGTTCCTTCTTACAAGTCAAAGAAATTTATTTAAAGAATTATTGATTTTTGTTTTTCTTAAATTATTTTATTCTTTATTATTTTCAAGGATAATATTTTCAATTAATGACTGACTAGTTTTTTTTATTATTACACGACCTTTTTTCGATTTTTTCAATAAATGCGATTTTTTGAATTTTTAAATAAAATAAGATGTTTCCACTTTTTAGCATTGAATGATTGACTAGTTTTTGTAAACTGTTCATACAATTTTGAAAAAATAAGGTTTTAATAATGGGAATTTCGAAAAAATATTTTTCTTTGATTTCCCCAATGTTAAAAATTAATGTCCTCGAACGTGTTCTAACATTTTGCTAAAAACTAGTCAACCATGTGCTCCAATAATAAATTTTGCTTCCTCATAGGAAGCTTTTTTTTACAAAAATTTTTCAACTTCGATTTTTTTATGTATCTTTATGTTTTTCGACCTCAGGTAAATTTCGAAGCAACTGTTTTCAAGTCTTTTCAAGTCTTGAAAAAAAAATAAAAACTTTTAAAGTCCAAAATCGTCAGTTTTAGCCTCGAAAAAACTGTAAATTTCGAAGCGAGTGTTTTCAAGTCTTTTCAATTCTTTTAAAAAAAATAAAAAATTTTAAAGTCCAAAATCGTCAGTTTTAGTCTCGAAAAAACTGTAAATTTCGAAGAGAGTGTTTTCAAGTTTTTTCAAGTCTTGAAAAAAAAATTATAAATTTCAAAGTCAAATATCGTTCGTTTTAGCCTCGAAAAAACTGTAAATTTCGAAGCGACTGTTTTCAAGTCTTGAAAAAAAAATAAAAAACTTTAAATCCAAAATCGTCAGTTTTAGCCTCGAAAAAACTGTAAATTTCGAAGCGAAGGTTTGCAAGGCTTCTCAAGTCTTTTCAAGTCTTGAAAAAGAAAATTAAAAATTTCTAAGTCAAAAATCGTTCGTTTTAGCCTCGAAAAAACTGTAAATTTCGAAGCGACTGTTTTCAAGTCTTTTTAAGTCTTGAAAAAAAATGAAAAATTTCAAATTATAAAATCGTCAGTTTTATCCTCGAAAAAACTGTAAATTTTAAAGCGAGGGTTTGCAAGTCTTTTCGAGTCTTGAAAAAAAATTAAAAAATTTTAAAGTCAAAAATCGTCAGTTTTAGTCTCGAAAAAACTGTAAATTTCGAAGAGAGTGTTTTCAAGTTTTTTCAAGTCTTGAAAAAAAAATTATAAATTTCAAAGTCAAATATCGTTCGTTTTAGCCTCGAAAAAACTGTAAATTTCGAAGCGACTGTTTTCAAGTCTTGAAAAAAAAATAAAAAACTTTAAATCCAAAATCGTCAGTTTTAGCCTCGAAAAAACTGTAAATTTCGAAGCGAAGGTTTGCAAGGCTTCTCAAGTCTTTTCAAGTCTTGAAAAAGAAAATTAAAAATTTCTAAGTCAAAAATCGTTCGTTTTAGCCTCGAAAAAACTGTAAATTTCGAAGCGACTGTTTTCAAGTCTTTTTAAGTCTTGAAAAAAAATGAAAAATTTCAAATTATAAAATCGTCAGTTTTATCCTCGAAAAAACTGTAAATTTTAAAGCGAGGGTTTGCAAGTCTTTTCGAGTCTTGAAAAAAAATTAAAAAATTTTAAAGTCAAAAATCGTCAGTTTTAGCCTCGAAAAAACTGTAAATTTCGAAGCGACTGTTTTCAAGTCTATTTAAGTCTTGAAAAAAAAATGAAAAATTTCAATGTCAAAAATCGTCAGTTTTAGCCTCGAAAAAACTGTAAATTTCGAAGCGACTGTTTTCAAGTCTTTTCAAGTCTTGAAAAAGAAAATTAAAAATTTCTAAGTCAAAAATCGTTCGTTTTAGCCTCGAAAAAACTGTAAATTTCGAAGCGACTGTTTTCAAGTCTTTTTAAGTCTTGAAAAAAATGAAAAATTTCATATTGTAAAATCGTCAGTTTTATCCTCGAAAAAACTGTAAATTTTGAAGCGAGGGTTTGCAAGTCTTTTCAAGTCTTGAAAAAAAAATAAAAAATTTTAAAGTTTTTGACATTTTAAAAATTCAAAAAAAACGTTTTTTGCTCATAACTTTTAAAATGTTCAGATACTTAAAAAAAATTTTTGTAGAGTTTTTCAAGACGAATTTTTTTACCTATTAGCGAACTTTTTACAGTTATTTAATCCAAAGTTATTGGCATTTTAAAAATAAAAAATTTCGAAAAAATCGACTTTTTTGGATAATTTTTTTAAAAATTTTTAATAAAACTTAAAAATCAACATAACCAACTTAAAGAATATCTGAAAACGCATCGATTGACCTATTTGCGAACCTTTTACTAAAAAATATGTCGGAGTTATGAATGTTTTAAAAATAGATAATCAAAAATCTTGAAAAATGGGACTTTTGGTATTAAATTAAATTTAGATAATAAATATAATTTATAAAATCATTAAAAATAAGTCAATTGACGTAAAAAAAATCTCCACATGAGGAAGCAAAGTGTTCATTCAATGAACACAAAATTTCATACAATACTTTAACTTGGCAGCGGTTTTTTTATTTTTATATTATTGAAATTTTTGTAACACATTTTAATACATATTTAATTAAAACTTGCGTACTATGGGCAGCAAAAAAATTTAAAATTCCTTGGCCGTCAAAAAGTTTTCTTACACCTTTTTCTAAAATTCAAAAAAAATTAATTCTGGACAGCAAAAATAAATTTTTATTAATTTCTCTATTATTAAACATTTATTTCATTTAACATGTTTTATCATTCAGTCAAAAAATTGCAAACCGTAAGCAGCACAATTAAGTTTGTTTTCGAATTTTTCTTTTTCAAAAATGTTATTATATCTGACAAAACTAATTTCTGATTCCTAATCAGTGACCACGAAAACTCCATAGTAACATTTTTCAGGCCTTGGACCGATTTTAAAAAAATTCGTCCGCCATCTTGGTTCCTCCATCTTGAATTTTGAAAAAGTAACTACTCATTCCTAATCAGTTACTCCGAAAGCCCCCGAGTACTTATTTTTATGAAGCTACTCATTTTAATAATTTGCAAATTTTTTTAAAACCTTACAAAAAAAATTGTTTATATTGTTGTAATTAAAAAATTGTTATTTATTTATTACATTATAAATTTTTTATATAGTAGAATAAATTTGTGTGCCGTTGGCGTTTAAAAATAAAAAATAATTTGATTTTTGACAAAGTTATGAACTTTTGAATTCAAAATTGATTTCGAACGAAACCGCTGGGCCTTAAGAAATTGAACTAGATAAGTTTGTGGAATTATGATATATTTTTCGGTATGAAATTTCAAACAGTTCAGATTTATCATTATTTATCATCTCGCGGAGTATACGCAACCGCTTTTGCCACCTCCTATGTATATATGTGACCGTCCCCGAGAGAAGGGACCTTATCTACTCTTGACTTAAGGTCCCTTCTCTCGGGGACGGTCACATATTTTAAATAAGAATCCTTGTAATATTTTAAACATAAAATCAATGATTGAACATTTTTTAAAGGATGAAATTATAATTTATTTTCAAGAAATCATAACAATATAATGAAAACTTGTAATTTTTATAAATGAGAATTTAAAATATATAACGCATTCCATGTTTTAACAAAAAGAAAAATAATTATTTCAGAAGTTATTGAAGAACGTATTTTAAGTGAAATGAAACATGAAATTATAAAATAAACATAAAATTGTTTTTTAAAAATGAATCCACTACTTGGTTCTTTTCCCGGTTTTGTATGTAGTTTCTTAGAAACGAAAATGTTTCAAGAAATTGTGAATCGTTCAATGATTTAGACTCCTTCCTTGAAAGTCTACTGTAGTTATATCTGACTTTTTCCCATAATTCTTCTACTCCGCCGGCTGTCAAATAATATATTAATTTATAATAATAATAATAGTAATAATAAAGTTAAAAATTAAATTAAAAAAAAATTATTTTTATAAAATTTTATTTTTAAAAGAGTTAAATGACATAAAAGGAAGAAAAAAAGGAGACGGCCACTTGCGGGCTGACTGTGCTAGTTGAAATAAAAATCACAAAATAAACATAAATAAAAACATATTTAACCTTTTAACCAAAAGTAACTGTCGTCTTTCTCTTGAATACGTTTCGTAATTTTTTCAAAAGCTTCCTCGACATGTCGGTTTCGATTGCCATAACGGGGAATACCCGAAAATGTTTTATCATAAATAACTTTTTCTTTTTCCAGTTCACCAGCAAGAAGTTTTAATAGTTTTTTATCCTCCATTGTGCTAACGTTTAAATCATTTACAATTTTAGGTTAAATTAGTTTAGAATTTGAATTTTTTGTAGTTTTAAATAGAAAAAATTATTTTCTCCACATCCAGTTCACCAACTTAAAAAATTGAAAAGAGGTTTTTTCATCACGAAATAAAGTATTCAAATAGGATTGTATAGCTTAAAGATTGTATAGCTGAAATAAAGCTGAGGTCTAAAATGATTTTTTTACGTGTCTCCACAGGGTTGCCACGCTTTTCCGTTATCACAATTCCCTGACTTTTCCAGGTTTTCCAGGATAAAAAATGTAATTTTTGCAGAATTTTTTTGGTAAAAACCAATTTTATAAAATCCAGAAATAAAATTAAATTCATAAATTTATTTATTTATTTTTATTTGGTCATCCAATAAAGGGTTTAAATTTCTAAAATCATTTCATTAAATTTTTCTCTGATCTATTAATAAAAAATTTTTTTTCACTAATTCGATCATTAGTAAAATCTAACTAACTCATAGAAAAAAGTCAGTCACTGATTCAAATTCGTCAAAAATTTGCCATTTTCCAGGTTTCAAAAGTTAAAGTTAAAAATAATAAAAATTTTAAAAAATTGAAACTTAGACAAAAAATATTGTTAAAAATAAAAAAAATAAAAAAGAGTATTTCAGAAATATCGGAAGTTGAATAAAATTACAATTCACAAACAATTAAAATTGAAAAAACAATATTCCGAAAAATAAAAACTTAGAAAACCAAATTTTAGAAAAATCGCAGTTTGGATTTGCCAAAAATTCAAATTTATAAGAGTAAAAAATCCTGAAAATTGGAATTTAAATGAAAATGAAGTTGAGAAAAATCTAAATTTTGGAAAAATGAAAACGACAATAAAAATTGTGAAAAATCAAAAAATAAGGGGAGATTTTTACAAATACCGGAAATTTAATAAAAATCAAATCCTCAGACAATTGAAATTTAAAAAACTAAATTTTGAAGAATTGAAACTTGGAAAAATCAATTTTCAGAAAAATTTCAGTTTAGATTTGGCAAAATTAAAATTCAGAAGAGTATAAATTTAGAAAAATCAGATTTAAAATGAAAATGAAGTTGAATAGAATGAAAATTTAAAAAATTGGAAACTATCCACAAAAAGTATTGTAAAAAATTAAAAAATTTAAAAAGGGAATTTTTCAAATACCAAAAACATATAGAAAAAAGTCATTTACTGATTCAAATTCGTCAAAAATTTTTCATTCTCCAGGTTTCAAAAATTAATTCCCGAATTTTCCAGGTTTTTTCAAGGTTAAAAAAAATTCGCTGACAATTCTAGGTTTTCCAGGTCGCTTCCAGGTAGCGTGGCAACTCTGCTCCAGATTTCTCAAAAAAGTTCCAAACCAATAGTTGTGCATGTGCAGTTTGCCTTTTAATTCCTGCAAAATTAAACAACGGTAGCTAAATAACCTATTTTAATGTTAAAAAATTTGTTTTCTTATATAATGATAAGTGTAAAAATTTATGTTTAACACTTCAATTATGTGTGTTGGAAAGAAATAGATATTTCAATTTTACGTCAATAAATAATGAAAAATTAAAAACAACAACATAACCGTGAATTATCAAATTCAAATAAATTAACATGAAAAATGCAAATATTATTTAATTATTTTTATTAAGTTTAAACAAACATAATTTAATATTAATTTAATTATTTAATTTAATTGATTTAACAATAGATACAGCCTAAAAGAATTAAATATAAATTACTGAATTTTTTAACCTTAATTGTTTGTTTACAAATTATTTTGCCACTTACCTGTAATTGATTATATATAATCCTTATTTGCATTATATAAAATTTTCTTCTTAGCAAACGTGTTTAATAACTTTGACATTCAAATCTGATTTTATTTAACTATTCACTACACAAAATCTGCGAATAGAAATATTCGTATTATCAAAACAATCCCTTCGAAACGATGACCCACGATGACACTCATTCATATGACAGCTACATGCGCATAGAGTGCCGAATTACAAGTTCGACCACAAACTTTCAATTTTCTGCAGCAACTTCAAGCACAAGGCATCCGTGGATTTTACTGTATCGATCGGATGTAATAAAAGGATGCACGTGAACGACTTGAGCGGAATGGCGTTCCAATTGGAATTGCGCATAGAGGTGATAGATCTTTAACTTACGAAAACCTAGTATTCCTATAATTTGTTATCAATGAACACAAATGTAACACGAATCAAAACAAATTTAATTTCCTTTTGAAGCAAAAGTTTAAATTTGTGGATGGAAATTGGAACGCCATTTGCAATATATATTAAAGTTGTCGCTTAAGTGGTTAGTCGTCGACAATAAGTATTGTTGATTTTTTTCAAGTACCTAAAATAATAAATATAATTTTTATTTTCAGAAATATTATTTATATATATTATAATGCAAATTATTATTATATGAAACAAATTGATACTAAATAAATATTATTTACCTTTTGCAGGAGTTTGTGACAAGATTATGTAACTACAGAATTCACTTCCCAGTAAAAGTATATTATTATGATTTGATTCTTCTTCAACTTCTATAATGCGCAATGCATAGTCCATTTCTTTCTGGGTAACCACTAATAAAACTTTTGTTTTCGCCAATAACTTGTGTTCAGTCACTTTCGCTATGATGTCAAAAGTATATATTCCTTGAGAAATCATTTTTGTAACTTTTACTTCTCCAGAATTTGGGTCAATAGTAATTTTCACTTCCTCATACACTATTTTTAATTAAAAAAGAAAAATACAGTTTATAATGTTTTCCACAGCAAATTCGAAATTCATCTGCAATTGTATCTCCGTTTTTTTAAAACTTTTTTTCTTTTAGTAGTAATTAAGAATAGCTTTCATGATTTTTTTCAAATAGGGTCTGAATTCGTGAAATCAGCACAGAAGATAAAAAATATTTTTTTAAATCGAAATATAGAAAAAATCATTTTTTTAGACAACAGAAATGTTTCTACCAAGCGAAAAAAAATATTTTTTTTTACAGAAGTTATTGCAGAATGATTTACTTGTTAAAAGTAATGATAACAATTGTGTTGCGCGGCATACAGCATCGGCGAGACGCTCACCCGTACCATTTGGGGCGCGCGATTTTAATAAGTCTAATTAATAACCCCACTTAAATTTTCTCCACAGATTTCGACTCCTTTGATTTTAAAGAGTATTTTACGATTTTTTTCGACTTTTTAAAAGGCGCAAAACATAAAAAAATTTGTTTATAAACAATTAATTCAAAAATTATGAAATTTTTTTTTAATTTCTAATTTTATACGGAAGTCTATTTCCTTCAATTTGTGTAGCCGTTTGATTTATTGAAATGGGTCCATTCGTTTACGAGAAACAAGCATTTGTTTAAAAAATGACAAAAGAATCATTCTGCAATAACTTCTGTAAAAAAATATTTTTTTACGCTTGGTAGAAACATTTCTGTGGTCTAATAGAATAATATTTTCCATATTTTGATTTAAAATAATATTTTTTATTTTCTGTGCTGATTTCACGAATTCTAACCCAATAATTTTAGCAAGCTTTTTTTGAGATACGAAGTTTTCAAAATTTCAAAATTTTAATGACTTTTAATTTTTGAATGCTTATAAGTTCCTTAGAAATGCATCATTTGTAAAAATATTTTTTCAAAATGTGTGTTTTTAAACGTAGGGGAGATGTATGCAGGTTGAGACAGTTAGATATTATTTCGTATATAAATAATAATACCACAGATTTAGTGCACTTTTTTACAATGTGTATGAAAATATTTTTATTTAATAATTTTTTTCTTTGACAATATATATATATATATATATAATATATATAGTAAAGATGTTGAAGTTTTTTGGATTTTTTATATAGTGGTAAGATGTTGTGTTGTTTGAGGTATAATACATATTTATTTATTATTAAATAACAATAAATAAATATGGATTATACCTCAAACAACACAACATCTTACTACTATATATATATATATATACTTATGGTTTAAAATGTGCTGAACACGAATCCGATGTCAAAAATAATTTTTGACAGTATCCAGCTATCAAAAATGCCGTCAAACTTTTATCAACGAGAGTTTATAAGGGTTTTTACACTTATTTACGCAACAATGGTTGTTCTTCGAAACATTAAGTAGAAGAGATGTATGCAGGTTGCCTGGCTGAAAAAACTTGTACAAGAAAATATACAAGTTCTTGTACATGTTCATTAATGAACTTGTACATTTTCAAATAATGTTCTTGAACAAGTTCAGAATCCGGAATTGAGACATGTTCTTGTATCAGAACTTGTACAAGATCCTGGACAAGAAAATATACTTGTACAAGAAAATGTACATGATCTTGTACATATTTGTTGTGCAGGTTTCGTGTACAAGTACTTTTACATGAACACGTTTATGTTCTTGTACAAGAACATTTGTTTAAAAATGTTTTTGAAAAAAATTTGAAAATTTAATAAGCTATAATTATTAAGACTCTTCACTTACGCATGCCTAAAATTATTGCGCAGCTGTGAAGGCTTAAGTGCTCTAGATTTTAACATTATAGATACTGAAGGAGAAATGTTAAGTGATAATCATATTAATGAATTTGCACAACTATTGCAAAGAGTATCACAATCAGTTTTTGATATGCTAAACTCTTTGTATTTGCAAATTCTTGATTTAGTTATTCCGACTAACAGAAATCAAAAGCATATTCGAATACTTTTTAGTGGTTCTTGTAGTCTTGGTCATTGGATTTGCACTTATTATGATGGATTAAGACTTTATATTTATGATAGTCTTAATAAAGGTTGTTTAAATGGTGTTGATTGTGGAATATTTGCATTAGCATTTACAACATCTTTTTATTTTAATATAATGCCGAATACTCTTGATTTCGTAGGCAGGGAAAACGTAATCGACAAGAAACAGAAATTGAAAAGAAAGAGCGTCAAAACAGAAATTTGCTATGTAAAAAAAATTATTAGAAACAGAAATTGAAAAAAGCAGCGTCTAGAAAACGATTTAAAACGAAAATATGATAAAATTATAACAGAAACAGAAAGTGGAAAAAAGAGCGCCAACAAAGGAATTTAGAAAGTAAGAATAAAAAATTGTGTTTAGAAACAGAAATCGAAAAGAAAAAGCGTCTAGAAAGAGGCGAGCTAATATACATAAATGTTAATCTTACCCCAATACCAATGAGTATGTTCGATCTTGCTCGAAAGATCGACGTTACTAACATCATTACATCACAAGGTAAAATGTCTAACAAATTAAGAAGTTGCTATGACTAGTATAAAATCAAGCTGCTGAATAAGAAAGCAGCTGCTCGCTTTCATACAAGTACTGCAGATCCCAATATACTGCTCTTCTTTCTCATTCATAAAATATGCGCGCTGTAGCGCTGTAGCGCGCATATTTTGCTAGTATATATATAAATGCGTATATTCAATTGTTATTAATATTATATTATACAATATTTTACATAAGGTGACCATTTTCAAAAGGCCCCAATGCGGGACGCCCGAATCCCTATCCTGAAAAGCAAAAAAAAAAGGTCATCCAACAGGAAAAGCGGGAAAATAATAATTTTGAAACAATACAGATTAAATGTCAATTAAACTTTAATTATGATCACTTTTTAAAGTACAATTACGCGTATTTTTTGGACGAATAAATTTGTCTTAGAATTTCTTCCTTATTTTTGACAAAATTATAAAATATTTCAACCCATCTTTGGTCAATAGCGATTTTTTTTTCATTCCACTTATTAACTTTGTTTAAAGCATATTCTTTTACATAAGACAATTCGTCGAACAAGTCGTTTTCGTTTATTTCGAGATTCAATGAATGCACCATTTCTTCATAAGTGACCGAGATCTCTTCCCATTGCGGAACTGTAGACAAAAGTACCCAATTAAAGCTATTACCGATTTGAACATCGTCAAACCAACTATCTTAATAACTTAGACAGTTGTTGTAAAACAATTTTACTTGCGATTTAAACCATTCCTCATTTATTTGTCCCTCTTCGATTAAAAAGTTCAATTTTTGTCGCATCGTAAGTGGCAGAAAACCACTTTCTTCCCGGTCACTTAATTTTCTTTTTAAATCATTGATAATTCGACATGTTTCCATAATTGTTACTTTTTGTCCTTCGAGATCAACAACAGTGTTAGAAAATAACGCAGCCTGATTGTGAATAAAAAGTAACCATAACTCGGATGATTCATCGTTAAAAAAATTTCGAATGACATTTGGACATTTGTCTAAAGACAAAAAATAAGATTTCAACTCGTTAAACAATTTAAGAATTCGCCCTACTGCCGGTAAAAGAGCTAACCAACGAGTATTACTGTACCCTGAAAGCTTCTTATACTCAATGTCAACTTCTTCGCAAAATTCTTTTAGTGACTCGACTCTGACTGTATAAATATAAAAGGGCGAATAGATTTTGACTACAATGTTTTCAATATCAATTGGTAACAAATCTGCAGCGGTTTTAACTGTATTGTGTACGATGTGTGCAGTACAACCGACTCCGATAACATTTTGACTAAGTTTGTCTTTCAATTTGAAAAATACATTGTTTTTGCCTTGTCGAGCGCGACCTCCGAAATTAGCGTTAGTATTGTCAGCTCAATAACCGGCTAATTTTTCTTTTAATTCGTGATTCTCTAATCGGTCTAGCAAATACGTTACAATAATGTCAGAAGTTTCCCCAGAAAGAGGTGCAAGGTCTAAAATTTTTATTTGAGTTCCCACTTTTGGAGCGAAATATCTAACAAGAATTGGAAAAAGTTTCAAATCTTTAAGATTCGACGAGTCGGTATAAATAGAAATGTAAGACGCAGACGACAATTCTGTTTTTAAATTCATCTGAGCATGCGGTGCTAAAACGTTCACAACGATAGCTTCAGTCTTTGTTCTTTTACATGTAAATTTTTTTTCGAAAAGAATTTGTATAAGTCTACTGGTACAATCCATGGATCTGAAACTATGGTTGTGAGTTATAGTGTGATAACTAAGAACAGCTTCTGCGACAGAAAGTTCCTTTTCTTTAGACCCGAAAACGTTCTTTTTTATGAAGAAATCTGTTACCTGACTGGTAGATGCAGCTTCTTTTAGAGCATTTTTGTGCTTATCCGAAGCATTGTGTCTGACAATATCAGTTTTTCCGCCTGAGGAAATGGTAAAGCCGCTTTGACACGTTTGACAGAAAACTTGCGAATCCGTTTTAAATTTTTTTATATGAGGATATTCCGCACCCAGTTGATCTGTAAATTTACAGGAACGTTTATTTTTGACTGACTGCATTTTATCGTTCGGCATTATCACGGTATTATAAACATGGACAGAAGAGACGAAGAGTAACGAGAGAACTTTAATCCGCTATATTTCTATATAATTATATGTAATTGTTATCTTCTAACTATAAATCCATGAAAGCCTAGAAAGAAAAATGTCATGCAACTTGCTGTTTATAGTTGAAAATAATATTACTATTAAAAGAAACAAAAAATTTCCAAATAGAATATTCGCACACGTAACATAACCTCAAACTTTATAATTAACCAGTGATTGGATTGAAACTTATGTATTCTAAATTTTATAGTTTATCTTTTTAAAATAACAAAATAAGATAAATTCCATTAATTGTTTGATTGTAAAAAATTGACCCTTAAAGAAAATAACAAAGTCAAAAAATCAATTTCTGACGAATAATGCAATCTC